ATAATTGCGGATGTAAGACTCGATTTCCTGAGCCTGGACATTGTAATCCCTGTTCACAAACTTTTGGCTTCCGTCCCTCCTGTTGCTCCTGGCATTTTTCTGCCTTTTCACTTGCCAATAGGTTTGTGTGCACGCGCGCTTTACACACACACACACACACATCTGGATCCCCCCTGGTTGTCCCAGGACAATGACTGATGGAATTCTGAGCAGCGAGAAGCAGCAGGAGGTGTGAAAGTGGACAGTTTGCTTTTCAGATCCTGTCCCTTCTGGCAGTCCCGGAGTGGCTGCCCAGGACTCTCCTGGCACCTGATGCGCGAAGCTGTGCTGACCACAGGAACTGGGACGTGCAGCTGAGGTGAGCCAGAGGGGAGCAGCTGCTCCAGAGAACCCGAAGAGTGGGATCTGGGGGCAAGTAGTGGGGAGAAAGGTGTGCTAGGAGGCTAGGCAAACTGAGGCCAGAGGAAAAGTCTGGAAGTCAGAAATCCTGGGAAAAGGGCAGGTCAGCTCAGCTCATGTCTCACCACTCACAGCATCAGAGACATTCAGGATGAAGCCTGTGTGGCAGAGAAGTCCATGTAAGGAGAGCTGCCTGACCACAGGGGGCAGGCGAGAGAGGGAGGGGGATGCAGACGGGTCCAGCGAGGTGGGAGGAAGAGTACACAGGAGCAATCCCACATTCCTGAAGGCCAGTGATTTGCCATAAAGATCCCAGACGAGGGACTCCTGCTCATCCCTGCTAGGTGTGTGCAGGGGACAGGAAGCGGGGTGATGTCTCCCTGGAGGAGAGGGTTTGGGGGTTGAGGGAAGGGCTGGCCATGCTTGTGCTAAGAGGTCAGTGAGGAAATGTACGGGTGACACAGTGGCCACCAGCTGAGTCAGGCGGCCCACAGGGTGTGAAGGACTAGGAACAGGAGTCAGGTTTTGGTGCCGTGCACACAGGTATGTGTGTGCAAAGGGACGTGACGGTAAATGGCACCAGTGTGTGCGTGGGAATGGGAAACGGTATGTGGGTGTGGGCTTCCCGGTGTCCGGGGCTGGGTCATTCGAGCACTCGATTAGGTAGTTCCAGGAGACCGGGGTGCGAGCCTAGCAGCTGTGAGGGACAGCATTTTTCTACTTTTCCTGTGGAATTCACTTTCAGTCTCTTGAGGATTTCTCCAATAGGCAATATGGGTCTGTGAGTGGGTGCTAGTGCCTTAACTTCGGGGGGCACTGATGTATGGTGAGAACCATGGCCTGCACCAACTTCCAGGAGGGCAGCCTGGGGAGTCGATGCCAGGAGTTAAAGAGGTGGCAGAGTCAGGGCAGACCTTTGAGCAAGAAGAGATCTCCAGAGGTTACCTGGACAGTGGAGGAGAATGTTTTTCAACTATTCCTTGCAGATGGGCTAAGGATAGGGTGAGGCACAGGGCTGTGTGTGTGTGTGTGTGTGTGTGTGTGTGTGATCAGAGTGAGGGTGGTAGGAGGATGGGGGAGCTATTATTTTCTACTTTTTAAAGTAATTCTAAAAGGCAAACTCTGTGCAATTTGCTTTTATGTCTAATGCCCTCCAGGACACTTCTTCCTTGTTATTGTTTTTATATACTGTTGAGTCAGAATTGTTGCTGTGTGCTGTCAAGTGAGAACCAACTCATAGCTGATGCTCCAGTGGGTTTCAAGAGGCAAAAATCACACGGAAGGAGATTGCCCATATTTATTCTGCAAAGTGGCTGGTGGATTCGAACTGTGCACCTTCGGTGTGGCAGCACAGTTCCTTACCAGGAGGCCACTAGATCTTCTTTCTTCCTTGAGTCTAACGGGAATCTCTCTTGCTGCAACCTAAAGCTGTTTCCCCTTGGCTTGTCATGGCTCCTGGACAGCTTCTCTTTTTCTCTTGCTTTCCTTCTGCCATTGGAGTTTTTCATTTTCACTGATAAATCATACTCCTCTCTAGACTTCCACACCCCACTTCATCTCAACATATCACATCAGCATGTGTTCAACAGTTCATGTTCTGTTTTCTCTTCTCTCCCATTTCCTAGGTCCAAACTGGGTTCCACGATTCACTTCCTCATCCCTACTCCCCTCTGATTCTTCTCCTTAAACCTCTCTCTCTCCTCCACTGACTTGCTTTCCCCTTCAGAATGTTCCTCCTCAAACTGTTAAGAACATCTTAGCCCTGAAACAGTTGCCTCTGGCCTGGGAACAGAAAGGCCTGTATCCTGATCACCCTCTTGGGGATCCTTGGGTTTGAGGTTTTACTTGAGCTGAACTAAGCTCTAATTTGTCAAGCATTGGCAAGAATTTTTCCTTCTACTTAATGAACCTCATTTTTTATACCCCTCATGCCCAAGTTAAGGGGCCTTGATAATGTATTGGTTAAAAGTTGGTGTTTCAAATCTACCAGACATGGTGATGTGGTCCTGGTCCCTGTGAAGGTTGTCGTGTTGCTGTTGTTATTGTAGCATGGAGTTGGGAGTGACTCATAGCTGACCCTATAGTGGGTTGTCAGAGATTGTAAATTGAATGGGAGAAGACTGTCCATCTTTCTCTTATAGAACAGCTAGGAGATTTGAACCATGTACCTTCAGGTTGATGATGTTGTTCTTGTTAAGTGCTGTCGAGTCGCAGGTGACTCATTGTGACCCTATGAAGGAGAGTCCTCAATGCTTGGGTGCCTTTCATCCTCTCTCCAAGTTCATAGGGTTTCCGAAGGCAAGCTATTATGGAAGTGGATGCCACTCCTCCTTCCAGGTCAGGTTGATAGCGCAACTATTTATCTGCTAGGTCATTAAAGGTCCCTTTGTAAAGATCACAAGTTTGGGAATCTTACTCAGTCCTACTGAGTTCTACTCAGTCCTAGGGTCACCATGAGTCAGAACTGATTTGATGGCACACACAACAACAAATGTCCTTGTTAAGCAGGAGGCATTCTTTCTTCCAGGAAGACTGAAGCCCAGAGAGGAGGTGTGATTTGCCTCTGGTCACACAGCAAGTTAGAGATTCAGCTCTGCTACGGTCTTGGTGAGTTTACTTAAACCATTCAAAACCAGTGTGACAGCTCACCTTGTTTCTTGATCACTCTGAGTTCCATTTTTTTTCTTCTCTCTCTCTTTATTTTTTTTTTTCAACCTGGCGTTAAAGGAGGAAATTTAAGAATGTATGTAAAGTTCTGTGTGGTTTTTAGCATGTGCAAATGCTAACTCTTCTTAAAATCATTGGCTAGGTCAGGACTAAAACTTATTTCCTATCTGGTAATTCTTCAACAGAGACTGACTGGCCTGAGAGAATAAAAAGTCAATTTTCTTTTTTAGTTCACCCATATAGTTGGTATGGATTCATGGAGCTTTTTCTCAAAGGTGCGCTTGCCCCAATTCTGTGGCAAACATCAACATTTGGGTTCCAGTGTCACCATTTTTTCTCCTGAGGCCAGACTCCTCTTTCTTCCAAACTGTGGCTCTGGTTCTTCTAGTCTCCTGGATCTGGAAGTCTGTTCCCAACCTGGCGCTCTCCCCCTCCCCTTACAGCCCAGGCTCTGAGGCTATCGCTCCCACTGGGTGCCTCTCTCTTTATCTCCCTTCTGAGCTGAGCACATAGTGAGGTTTCTGAGTGGGTCCCTGCACCTGAATTTCACACTGACGTGCTTTCCCATTCCTGGGATAACCTGTACCCTCTAAGTCACCTTCAAAAATTTCCATAACCTCAGATGGCTCCTGCCCACGCCTTTCTAACTGACCTGGGCTTGGGCTGTTGCCTGGGCTAAAAGGACCAACAAATAAACAGTGACTCTTCCTTCATAAAAAGAATCCCTTGTGTTTCTCTAGAGCTTCGGCAGAGCATGGAGCACTTAGTAGACTCTGCTCATTTTGGTTCACCCAACGCCCCAGAGGTGAGGGGCGGTGGGGTGGGTGCGTCCCTCTACAGGCTGGCCACCTCCTCCTGCCAGCTTGCTGGCAGAGGTGGCCTCAGGGTGTGTTGTTTGTGTGTGGGGGAGGGGAAGGAAGGCAAACACAGGCTGCACCAGAATTTATCCCTTGGCAGTTGATAAATAGACAGTGAGGTTCTGCTCTTCAGAGGGATAGAGAGTTAAAATGAGAAAGGCCTGGAACTTTTTTTTTTTAATTCAAGGAGCTTTGGGCTCTTTGGGAAGGCTGAGGGTTGGGAAGGATGGTGGGCTGCTGAGATGGGCCTCCCTCCTGTGTGGGACCCACTCTGATCAGGAGATGACCATTACTCAAGTGAGTCTTACGCTGATGAGCCTCTCTGCCACCAGGATTCTCCAATTGTTCTCAGGGCAGAGGCTGGCCTGAGAGAATAAGTCGGTTTCCTCGAAGGCCTACGTTTGGCCCTGGAGCCAATTGCCGTCCTGTCTGTCTGGCTTTGCTCAGAGGCCTCACCTCCTCCTACTTTGCCAATAATCTGCTCAGAGCTAGCTGGCTCCTGTGTTTACACTAGGAAATCAATCACCCTGGCACAAGATGAGCACACTAGGGCACAGGGGAGGATCATGCTGTCACCTCAGCCACACCTGTCCCTTGGGCCAGCAGGGATCAAAGGCTATCAGAAGTGATAGGGGTCAGAGACCAGAGGCTGGGCTAGCGTCACTTACCAGGCTGCTGAGGTGCTGGGGTAGATGGGTCAGCTGGGTTAGTGGTGGTCTGAAAAGATAAAGAAGGACTTGAAATAAAAGACTCCAAACCTGGAGTTTTCATTCCAACTCTGTTTCTGAATGGCTTTGGGAAAGTCATTTTCTCTCTCAAGCTCTGGATTTTCTCACCTGCAAAATGAGAGACTAAGATTTGTTCCCTATTTGCTCACAGGGTCATGAGGGCAAAGTGTAACTTTGGATGCAAACGTCGTTGAGAGCTTGGTAAGAAGAACCATATTCCAGCAGCAACAAGCAAACAGCGTAAAGCAAGCAAGGATGGCAGGGGCATGAGTTGGGTTTTTACAGCTCGTTCATTCTCCTTCCACCAGAATTTGCCTCTCTCACCAGCCTGTCATCCTATTACTTAGCTATGGATGGAAAAGCTCATGAGGATGGGGCTCCTGTGGTCTACTGGGTCCCTGAAGAGGGAGAGAAGTCGGACCAGGAAAGGGAGGACCAGGTGAAGGATCGGGGCCAATGGACCAACAAGATGGAGTTTGTGCTCTCGGTGGCCGGGGAGATCATTGGGCTGGGCAATGTCTGGAGGTTTCCCTATCTCTGCTACAAAAATGGAGGTGGTGAGTTCACTTTGAGGTAGGCGTGGTGGGGAGAGTCATACACTGACAGTGGGCAGTGCCTGCCTGGATCCTGCTGCTCGGGTAGGGTGGTGAAATGTGGAATTGTTAGAGGACTGAACTTTGAGTTCCAACTCTACCATTAGCCTCAGTCTGTTCCTCTGTGCAACGGTGTTACTATCTCACAGGGCTTTTGTAAAGAAGAAATAAGGCCACAAGGTTGAAGCAAGGAGCCTGCTTATTTTATAATCTCCTTTGTGACTCTTATACAAATGTCATTGATAGAATTTATTCCTTCACTCCACTAATAAGACTTGAGGCCTATTATGTGTCAGGTACTGTACTAAGAACTAACAAAGACATATTATATTCTCTGTATTATATTCTAACAGAGGGAGAGGGGTGAGCATGTGGTATGTCAAGTGCTCCTGTATCACATGCTTGAGGGACAAGAGCTGAGAGGAGAGGAGTTTGTAATGCCAAACAAGATGACCAGGAGGAATCGCTCTGAGGTGATGTTTAAACACAGACCAGCAGGAGGTGAAGAAGGAGTGAGTCTTGTGCATAGCTATCAGGCAGAAGAACATTTCAAGCAATGAGAAAAGTCATTGTCAAGATCCCAGGGTGAAAAACCCACACACGTGTTGAAAGAACAAAAAAGTCTGACTAGGCCAGAAGAATAGTGGGAAATGAGATCAGAGAAGCAGATGCAAGCCCTTGAGAAGGATCTTGGTTGTTGTTGTTGTTGTTGATTGCCATTGGGTCAAGCATGACTCATAGCGACCTTCCGAACAAAAGACCTGAAGCCCCTCTATAACGATCGTCATTTTTCAAAGTTCACAGAGTTTCCAGAGGCATGTTGTTTAGGAAGTGGATGTCACTCCTGCTTCCAAAGCTCCACTAAACACTGTCCACCATGGGTAACCGTTTTGCCATTTGACACCCCAATGGCACAAGGTTCAGCTTCACAGCAACCCCAGGTTCCTCAGTACAGTGCATTGACAGAAGAGTGCTATACCGCTTAGAAGAATGTTCTTCCAAAATATAATAACAACCGACTTTTAAATATAAAGGCCCTCTCTGAGGTGTTGTTGACTCTAAACAAAAGGTTTAGTTAAATAAAAAACAGCCAATATAGTATCTTGATTGTTGTTGTTGTTGTTGTTAAGTGCCATCAAGTTGTAGATGACTCATAGGGACCCTATGAATAAAAGACCTGAACACTTTTATAACTTTGGTCATTTCTCCATGTTCATAGAGTTTCCAGAGACAAGCCATTTCGGAGGTGGATGCCACTCCTGCTTCCAAACTTGTTTTAATTGGGAAGCTCCACCAAACACTGTCCACCATTGGTAACATTATTGCATTTGGTACATCTGTGTCACAGGGTTTAGCATCACAGCAACCACGAGTTACCTCTGTACAGCAATGCACAGACCCGTGCTATATCACTTAGAAGAATGTTTGACCAAAAAACAATTTAAACCAGACCTGAGGGCCACAGATTAAAATCACCCACGTTGGGCTTGGTAGTGTAACTTTCGGAGGAATGATATTGTCCTGTCTCTCTCTCTCTCATATATATATATATATGAATTTAGCTTAAACACAGTTTTATTTTAAGCACTGGTATTAAAATTAACAGGGTCATGACAGGGAGAAGTCAGATAATTTTTTTTAAAACTATTTAAAATTTTTTTGGGTATACACAGAGTTGTGCAAAATTACAACTTATTTTAGAACATTTTCATTACTCCTAAAAGAAACCCCATACTATTTAACAGTTTCTCCCCATTCCACCCGCTCCCCTCAGCTCCAGGCAACCACTAATCTACTTTCTGTCTCTGTAGGTTTGCTATTATGGACATTCCATAAAAATAGAATCATTCAAACTGTAGTCTTTTGACTGGTCAGGGCCATTTTTGCCTTTTTTGAAAGAACATTTTGTCTTCTTGTGGGAATGATAAATGAGCATTGTAAATATTAGAAACACCCTAGAAAGGTAAAAATAAGAAATACTCCTATTAGATAACCACTGTTTAGAAAAATCCTTCTAAAGCACTATTTTTATTTCATTTGACAAAGATTTATTGACCATCTACTATGTAACTTGCTTTGTGTTTTAAAGCTTATGGTTATTATTTCAAATGGTTTGAACTGACAACTCCAATGAGTTAGAAATGGGGTCTCAGGGGTAGGGCTAGGCTGTGGAGCTGAGACCGGGAGTGGGGAGGCTGATGTTGGGTCAGCAGATGGGATGGGCAATAAGTAGTTGTCGAGCTAAGGCTGATTTATCTCAGGGCCACAGTTTCATGGACAGAAAGAAAGTGAGAGCTTTAGTTAAAGATCATCTAGCATTTCTTTCTCTGTCTCTTTCATTGCTGCAAGTCAGAACTGTCTCATAGCTGATCCCTCATTGGGCCTCTGAGGCTGTAAATTACTTGGGAGGAGATTGCTTATTTTTCTCTTAGAGTGACTAGTGGATTCAAATTGCCAGAGTGGTGCAACATTTGGCTTAGCATCAAAACTCTGTATGGATTACCCCTCCAGAACTCCCTTTACCTAGTCAAATCCTTCTTTTATAAAGAAGGATACAGAGACACAGGCCAGCAACTTACCCAAGATCATAGAGCTATTCAGAAGCAGGTTTCCTGGATGCCACATGCACAAGTAGATCTCCTCCTCTGATCTGAAAAGGGGCTGCAGCAGAGTGAGAGCCCAGGAGACAGTCAGGGTTTCAGGTTCCAGAGCCCAGCATGTTTCTGTCTGCCTGGCGGCTTGGGCTGTGACCTTGTGCTTTTTCCTGGAGGAAGACAAACATCTGTGACAGAGTGAGATCAACACTGGACTGAGCCCGGTCATCTGAGAAGTAGCGGTAGAGCAGGTAGCTTTACAGCTATCAGATAGGCTCTGTATGTGTTCATCCCTCTGTGTGTGCCTTTCTCCGTCACCTGTGTTCTCACTTTAGCTTTGTCCCTACCTAACTAATTATTTTCATCTTTAACACAACAGTTGGGGTGGAGAAAGGGGCCAAACAGGGTTAGGCATCCCAATCTGGGGCCACTGGACTCTAGGGGTCTGGGAAGGTAACTATGAAAGTTCAAGAGCTGATTTTACAATTTCAAACAATCTAATAGTGGATAATTATTGGAATGTGAAAATTGAAAACATAGAAGAGTGACTGAGAGCTGGAAAACATGACCTTGGTGATAGAAATGAAGCCAGAGATTGCATGACATAGTTTTGAAAGACTAAATAATGACTTACTTGATGTAAATTGCCTTCCCCCCCCATGACATAAATAGCATGTAAATGTGTTGCATCACTCAATGAAATATACTGCAATCAAATTGACTACTTATGTGGAAAGACTTTGGAGAAGTTCAATGTCATTAGTCAAGGTCAGGGGCTGACTGCAGAACAGACCATTGATTTCTCATATGCAAGTTCAAGCTGAAGGTAAATAAAATGAAAACAAGTACATGAGAGTCAAAGTATAGTATCTCATCTGAACAAAGAGACCACCTCAAGAATAGATTTAATTAATTAAACAGGGAGCTCTGGTGCCAGTAGGAAGCTGCACTACAATTCTGAAGGCACGGGGTTCAAACCCATCAGCTGTTTTGGAATCTCCCCACATGCGGTAGATGTGATGCCACATAACAATAACAACATGAATTGGGACCAATTTGACAACACCTAATAATAAGACAGTGAGGTTGGCTCAGGAGAGGGCAAAGTTCAGAGCTGTTGTACATAGGGTCGCTATGAGTTGTAGTTGACTCAACAGCATATTAACAGTAACAATAACAACAGGAAGTAGCATAAGAACCAATGGTATTGAAGGAAGAAGTCCAAAGTGCACTGAAGGTGTTGGCAAAATATAAGGCTCCAGGAATTTAAGAAATCCCAGTTGAAATGTTTCAACAAATAGACGTAGCCCTGGCCATTCTTACCAGTCTATACCAAGAAATTTGGAATACAGCCACCTGGTCAATCGACTGCAAGATATCCATATTTGTACCCATTTAAAAAAATGTGATCCAACATAATGCAGAAATTGTTGAACCATATAATAAATATCACATGCAAGTAAAATTTTGATGATGATAGTTAAAAAATGGCTAGAGCATTACATCAGCAGAGGACTGTCAGAAAGTCAAGCTCTAGTTAGAAGAGTCATTGGAACAAAGGATATCATTATTAATGTCAAATGAATCTTGATTGAAAGCACAGAATGTCAAAAAGATAGTGTTTTATTGCCTATGCAAAGGCATTCAATTGTATAAAATTGAAAAACTATGGATAACATTGAGAAGAATGGGAATTATAGAACATTTAATTGTGCTTATGCAAAATCTGTACATAGGCTAAGAAACAATAGTTTGAACAAAGCAAGAGGACATTGCATAGTTTAAAATCAGGAAAGGTGTTCATTAGGGTTGTATCCTTTTCCATACCTATTCAATCTGTACACTGAGCCAATAATTTGAAAACCTGAACTATATAAAGAAGAATGTGGCATCAGGATTGGAAGAAGATTCATAAACAACCTGCTTTATGCAGATGCTACAACCTTGTTTACAGATTACAGCCTCCATTATGGACTACAACTCAACATCAAGAAAACTAAAATCCTCACCACTGTACCAATAGGCAACAACACCATAGATGGAGAAAAATGGAAGTTTTCAAGGATTTCATCTTACTGAGCTCCACAGTCAACACTCATGGTACCACCAGTTAAGAAATCAAAAGACACTTTGGGAAAATCTGCTGTCAAGCACCTCTTTAAATTGCTAAAGACAGGATGACATTTTTAAAGACCAAAATGTACCTGACCTGAGCCATTGCATTTTCAGTTGCTTCATATCACGTGAAAATTGGAGAATAAGGAAAATTGAGGAAGAAATGATGTCTTTGAATTGTGGTGTTGATGATGTGTGTTGAATATATACCTCTGGGCAATCAAAATAGCAAATAAATCAGTCTTGGAAGAAGGGTAACCAGGATGTTCCTTGGATGCAATGATGGTAAAATTTCATCTTACATACTTTGGGCTTATTGTCAGTGGCCACTAGACCTTGGAAAAAGACATCAGGCTTGCAAAAGTAGAAGATTAGCATAAGAGAGGACGGATTGACACAATGTCTGCTTCAATGGCCTTGAGCGTGCTGGAGATTGTGAGGATGGCACAGAATAGGGCACGGTTTTGATCTGTTGTTCCTAGTGTCACTACATAGTCAATTTGATGGCTCCTCACAACAGTAATAATGAACATACACAACAGTGAGTTCACAGGCTACGTAAATGCTAATTTTGCTTTAGGCTCAAAGTATACCAATTTACACTGACATAAAAACCCTAGCTTTCAGGGGAGCTCTGGTGGCCTAGTGGCAAGGAGCTGCAACTACAATCCCAGAGGTGCACGGTTTGAATCCACCAGATGCTCTCCCGGGGAAGGAGGGACAA